CCCGGCCACTGCAGCCTCGAACTGCTGGGCTCCAGCGATCCTTCCGCCTCAGCTTTCCAAGTAGCCGGTATTACAGGCATGCACTACCACACCCGGTTGATTTTTTATTTATGAGATGAGGTCTCGCCAAGTTGCCCGGGTGGATCTTGAACCCATGGGCTCAGGCAATCCACTCACCTCGGCCTCCCAAAGGCGTGGGATTACAGACTGAGCCACCGAGCCCGGCCTAAAGATTATATTTTTTAACATTGATTTTTGAAGTTCTAGAGACAGTTTAATGTGCTATATAAAATTTTTTATCAGATGAATGCAATTTATAGAATCTGATTATCTAGAAATAAACTTGCAGAATTGTCATTCTTAAATTCTTCATGAAGTTGTATTTCAACATCAGTTTTCCTTTATGATGGATTTAAGTAGCCAGAATACTACTAAAAACAGTAATGATTTAAAGCTGTGTGTCAAAATCTATGCTACACTTTGTGTTGCAGTCCACTATTCTCAGTAATGTTGGGCTTTCCTTGAAACTAATGTAAATTTACATCCTATTCTTGTTGGGTTTTTTTTGAGTCAGGGCCATACTCTGTCACCCAGGCTGGAGTGCAGTGGCATGATCACAGCTCACCGCAGCCTCCACCTTCCAAACTCAAATGACCCTCCTGCCTCAGCCTCCCAAGTAGCTGAGACAGACGCATGCCACCACACTCAGCTAAATTTTTAAAAAATTTCTGTAGAGACAAGATCTCACTATGTTGCCTAAGCTGGTCTCAAACTCCTGGGCTCAAGTAAACCTTCTGCCTCAGTCTCCCAAAGTGCTGGAATTTATAGATGTGAGCCACTGCACTTGGCCCTGTTGTTTTTCTAGAATAGGAATTAGAAGTAGATGATTGTTTATGATGGAGCTCTACCTTATGAAAGAGAATCATACATTGCCTGACTTGCTTGATCTCAGCTTGTGCTGCCATCTTTCACTCCAAGAGAAAGATACTAAAGCATAGATCTTCACTGCTAACTCACTACCCTGGTCAAGATTCCCTGGATAGACTTCACTGGGCTTCTTGGTTCTGTTTCCACTAAGACTCCTTTGCCTTGCTAAGGCAGGCTAAAGAATTCCAATGATTTTTTTTTTTTGAGTTGGAGTCTCACTAGGTCGCCCAGACTGGAGTGCAGTGGCCGCTCCCGGCCATCGCAGCCTCGCCTGCTGGGCTCCGGCGATCCTTCCGCTCAGCATTCTGAGTAGCTGGAATTACAGGCATGCGCTACCACGCCAGGCTGATTTTTTGATTTATTGTAGAGATGAGGTCTCGCTGCCCAGGTGGGTCTCGAACCCGTGGGCTCAGGCAATCCACTCACCTCAGCCCCCCAAAGGCGTGAGATTACAGGCTGAGCCACCGAGCCCGGCTTCCAATAATTTTAAAAAGTTATATTTTTGTCACCAGATATGTATGTTAGTTGATATAGACTTGGAGGCAATCACTTTTGCACATTCTGTCCTGCTGAGGCAATTTCTGCTGTTTGTTCCTCTGAAGATTCTTAGGTTCATATGGCTTCTATAAAATCATCCTTTTTTCCCTGAGAGTAAAAATGCTACTTCTTCTATAATTTGAACTTCCCTACTCAAACCATCAGTTTCCACTTTACAAGACCCTTACTTTAAACGACTTCATTGCTCTCTTTGAGTTCTTGTTTTATGAAGGCACAAATGGAATAAAAACAAAAGCAGTTCATTTTCCAGCCACAAATGTGGTCCTTAACTCCTTCTAATAATATAATCTCATGCTCCTAAGACCCAGAATTTAATTGAAAAAAATATTGTGTTTTATTGAATCTAAGCTATCATCAGTGGTGAAATGCACTACTTATTTGCCACTAAGAAATAAAAATCATCCTCAATTAAACTGCAACATATCATTGATTGTAAGATGCATCCTAATGTCAGGGATTTTAAAATATGGAGGCTGGGTTCAGTGGCTCAGCCTGTAATCCCAACACTTTGGGAGGCCGAGGCAAGTGGATTCCCTGAGCCTGTGGGTTTGAGACCAGCCCAGGCAACTTGGCAAGACTTCATCTCTACAATAAATCAAAAAATTAGCTGGGCGTGGTAGCG